TCAAGTTTTCCGTTTTCCTCTGGTTTCCCAGCAACCAAACATGCGTCTCCTCCTACTCCACTTCCTCCCTCTCTTTCTTTCCCTCTCTCTGTCTCTTTCGTCCTCTACGGAGCTTGAGCTTCTTCTTCAAATCAAGGCTTCATTGGATCCAGATAACCGTTTCTTGACCTCGTGGACGCTGGGGTCGGACCCATGTAGCACCGGGTCCTTTGAGGGCGTGGCGTGCAACGAGGAGGGTCGGGTTGCTAACATTTCACTTCAGGGGAAGGGTCTCTCCGGGTCGATTCCGGCTGCCTTGGGTGGGCTCAAGAGCTTGACTGGGTTGTACCTGCATTTCAATGCGTTGATAGGGGAGATACCTAAGGAGATTGCGAGTCTGAGTCAACTCAGTGATTTGTACCTCAATGTGAATAATTTGTCTGGACAGATTCCTCGTCAGATTGGAAACATGACTAATCTTCAAGGTTAGTAACTGGAACTACTAATACCTCTGTTTTTTTTTTTTTCCGTCTCTCTTTCATAGCCTTTAAGTATTTATTTGAACAAGGAAAAAGTTTTGATTTTTTTCTTACTCTGTTTTTTTAATTTAAAATTGAATGCATGCCTGTAGCATTTATTAGATTTGGGTATGGTTGCTGTTGGGTGCAGTTGTTATTATATCCAGTTTCAGCATTGAAAAGATTCGATCTTTGTTTAATGGGTTCTAATAATTATTGCCCAAGTAATTACATTTATACATATCCAATGGAACGAATGGGAAATTTCATGTTAGGAGGTTGGATTTAATATTCTGTCCTGTTTTGGACAATGTTCTCCAACATCAAGTTATTGTGATTTACACTGATCTGGACTTACTTTTGGCTTTACAGTTTTGCAATTGTGTTATAATAAGTTGTCTGGGAGCATACCTACACAACTAGGATCTCTGAAGAAGCTTAGTGTCCTTGCTTTGCAATATAATCAACTAATGGGTGCAATACCAGCTAGTTTGGGGGATTTGGAGACGTTAACAAGGTTGGATTTGAGCTTTAATAACCTTTTTGGTTCTGTTCCGGCAAAGCTAGCTGATGCTCCTATGTTAAAAGTGCTAGATATTCGCAATAATACTCTCTCTGGCAGTGTACCTCAAGGTAATATCAATTTCTACCCTGTGTAGCCATTGTTGTCTATCTCGTTTGTCTCGATGAATTGTATAAAATTAAAACGGAGCAGATTCTAACTTGTCTTTATGATTGTCTTCTGGATGGAAATGCAGCTTTGAAGAGACTAAATGCTGGGTTCCAATACGAAAACAATCCAGCTTTGTGCGGCACAGGGTTTTCCAATCTGAAAGAATGTACTAATTCAAGGAAGACGGTTACAGACAGACCTGAACCAATCAAGCCTGATGGTTTATACAAAAATGGTATTCCAGAGTCTGTAAATTCATACCCTAATTGCAGGGAAAACAACTGTTCTAGGCCATCCAAGAAGCCAAATGTGGGTGTGATATTTGGCATCACTGGAGTTATTGTTGCCTTATCTGTCATTGGACTTTTCACGTTTGCATGGTACCGTCGCAGAAAACAGAAAATTGGGAGTGCTTTTGATGCTTCAGATAGTCGGCTTAGTATTGACCAGGTGAAGGAGGTTTACAGAAGGAGTGCCTCTCCCCTAATCAGCTTAGAGTATTCCAATGGATGGGATCCTCTAGACAAAGGTCGAAATGGAAATGGATTTTTGCAGGAAGTTTTTGAGAGCTTCGTGTTCAATTTAGAAGAAGTTGAGCGTGCTACACAGTGTTTTTCAGAGGTGAATTTATTGGGGAAAAGCAACTTCTCAGCCATCTACAAGGGATTCCTCAGAGATGGTTCTTCTGTTGCTATAAAATGCATTGCCAAGACAAGCTGCAAATCTGATGAAGCTGAGTTTTTGAAGGGGTTAAAAATTTTGACCTCATTGAAACATGAAAATGTAGTGAGGTTAAGAGGTTTTTGCTGTTCCAAAGGCCGAGGTGAATGTTATCTCATCTATGATTTTGTGTCAAATGGAAACCTTTTGCAGTATCTGGATGTGAAGCAGGGAAGTGGCAATGTTCTTGAATGGTCCACCAGAATCTCTATAATTAACAGCATTGCCAAAGGTCAGTTTCTCTTTGTTCCTTGAAGTTACACTATTCTTGATTCTTTCTTTCCACTTTGGTATATTGAAATGTGTTATCCTTTACCAGGTATT